CAGCCCCAGTTCTTCTCCGCCCCTTCTGCAATCATCTCCATCTCCTTTAAGCTTCTTCTGCAATCATCTTCATCATCTCCAATATGAACAAAGTGCCAAACAAATTATGAGGATTGTAAGGAAGAAAGCAAAGGGACCACAATTCCGGAAATGATAGGAATAAGTACCACCCAAAGCTTACTCTAAAAATAGCATTTCCCTAAATTTATGCAAAGGAAATCCAGCAACTGCTTAGCTTTATGCAACAAAATAGAGAAACAATAAAATAGAAACAAGAATAAAAAAAGTAAATATTTTCTCTTCAATGAATTTCGTTTTTGGTTTATGAAAAAGGAGATGGAGATGATTGCAGAGGGGGTGACAGCAGGGGTTGGGTTTTTGAGTGAAAAATTGAAGGAATCGCAGTTGTTCTCATCAATTTCATCTTGAGAAATTTACATTGAAAACTAAAAAAAAAAGAAATAGCAAAAAAGAGATCCAACAAAGCACTTACCGGAGATGATGAATTGCAGCGGCAAAGTTGGGTCGGCGGCGTGAGACAATTGCAAAAGGGGTGAAGAAGGAGATGGAGATGATTGCAGAGGGGGGTGGCAGCAGTGGTTGGATTTTTGAGTGAAAAATTGAAGGAATTGGAGGAGCGAGGAACAAGGGCTGGGGATTTTCGGAGAAAAGACGAATAGCAGGCTGTATATTTTGGGAGAAAAGGACATCGTTTGGTTGGGACTCCAATTTTTGTTTTCGGAGGCGGGACTGATCCGCACTTTCCCGTATATATATATATATTAAAAGACGTGTTGAAAGTGGAAACTAGTTGGAGAATTGATGTCTTGGACCTTCTCCATTTGTGTTTCCTATACAAATAATACTCCTTTGATTGAATGTCTTTGTTCTGGATAACTTGAGTTTCTTTCTTGGAGCATTCTTTATACTCATATAAAACTGTCAGTTTTCTCTTTTTGCTTAATAATTTTGTCTTTCTCTGTTCTAAAATCTATCACATTTTCTGTAGTTTTTAAGAAGTTCCTTTATTATATGTTAAATGTGAAAGGAAGATTTAATCCTTTTTTTTTCTCACGGACTAGTCCTATTGACCTTTCTCCCTCAGTGTTGAATTTGCAGGCCACAATTATTGACCTTTCTCATAACAATTTATTAATCGGGAAGGTTCCAAATTGTCTTCCTAAGTCTCTCTCAGTGTTGAATTTGCAGGCCAATTACTTTGATGGAAATATACCCTTTGGGTTTCCAGAGGGCTGTCGATTACGAAATCTCAACTTACATGGAAATCAAATGGATGGGCTATTACCAAGGTCTTTGGTGAATTGTAGCATGTTAGAGGTTCTAGACGTTGGCAACAACAACATAGAGGATACATTTCCTCATTGGTTGGAATCTCTCCCAGACCTTCAAGTGCTTGACTCAAGGTCCAACAAGTTCCACGGTTTTGTGCAGAGCACCAAGGAAAGTCCATCTTTTCCCAAGTTACGAGTTCTGGACCTCTCCAGCAATGATTTTCGTGGCCCTTTGCCTGTTCAGTGCATTGAAAACTTTAAAGCGATGATGGACCCTCATGGAGAGGATGGTTCCCCTAAATACATGAAGATGTCGATGGGAGCCAATTCTTATCAATATTCACTGGTTGTGACATGGAAGGGATTGGACTATGAGCTGCAGGGAATCTTGACCGTATTCAGTAGTATTCATCTCTCAAATAACAAGTTGGAGGGAGAAATTCCAGATGTTATTGGAAAGCTTAGTTCTCTCAAAGGGCTTAATCTTTCTCATAACAACCTTACTGGTAATATCCCACCGTCACTAGGGAATTTGACGAATCTGGAATGGTTGGATCTCTCTTCCAACGTGCTGACAGGGAAAATTCCTGATGAATTGGTATCTTTGACACAACTCTCTGTATTGAATCTTTCAAATAATCATCTTGTCGGACGCATACCACAGGGCAATCAGTTCAACACCTTTGGAAATGGTTCTTATGAAGGAAACCTTGGACTGTGTGGATTCCCATTGTCAAAATCTTATGATGGAATTGGAACACCGCCGAGCTCCTTCCAAGAAAAAGATGAGTTGTGGAGATTTGGCTGGAGAGTTGTGGTGTTAGGCTATGGATGTGGAGTTGTTTTTGGACTGCTGATGGGATATCATGTCTTCCGAACAGGAAAACCAAAATGGTTTGTGTCTTTGTTTGATGGCCGACCAAGTCAAAGTGGAACGAAGATGAGGAAACCCAGAAGACTTGTTCAAAGAAGAAGGTAGTTGCAGAGTTGATGTTTTAGAGCTTCTGATTTAATGTTTCCTGAATAAGTGCTTTTCGGGTTTGAAGTTCTTGTTATGGCTGGCATTGGCTTGCATAAAATTGTCAGCCTTCTCTTGTCTTTATTATGGTTTGTAATTTTGTCTTTCTTTATTGTAAAATATATTGAGAAAGTGTTTTACAATCTGGGTGGGTACGATAGCAGACTTAAAATTTATTCGAAGGTTTAAGCTTTTAATCTTTCTTAGTTGTATATGCATGTCCAATTAATCTACTTCCTTTAAGCCTCATAAAAATTCGAAGTTTTCTTTCTTTACAGTTTTGTTCTAGAGATTCCCATTAGCAGCCTCATAAAAATTCGGTTGCTTCACATTGATGGGCTGAAGGGGAAATGCGGAAGTTTGAATCTGGATTTTTGGATGGTTATCGTCTTGGGGATATAACTGTAATTGTCATCTTGGGAAGGGTAAGTCTTATGATTTGGGCTTCGGTCTCTCTCTCGCATTCGCTTTCGGTAACATCTTCCTTCACAACAGACATTTCACCTCTTTAGGGTTCCTCTTCTATTATGAATCCCAACTCCT